TGAGATTGTTAACATATTTTTACTTAATTTTAATTGAAGTATGTTTACACCTTACACTAAATATTTTGGATAAAAAATTCAACTCTTCCTTTATTCTAAGAATATTATGACAATTTGATATGTTATTTAAAACACAATTTCTCTCTTATTACATTTATTAATCTCTTCTCTTATATCATTAATTTTTTCTCTTTTTTTTATTTTTATTTTTTACATTGACTTGTTATTATTGTCTGAGGATTACAAAAATATTTTCTTCGTAATTGTTTTTCTTTTTGCATAACGCAATATTAAAAGAAAATTTTATTACTAGATTGAGAGAATACTTTTCTCATTTTCTTATCAACAAATTTATATTAAAGTTTGAGTTATATAAATAAAATGCATACAAAATACATAATTCCAACAAATATTTTATACTAATTATTTTAATTGAATATTCTATTACTATTCTGTCTATAACTTTTAATGCTATTCTATAAATTTTTTTGAGTGCTGCAGATTTATATAATACTGAATAAATGAAAGATAATGAGTATAATAGGAGAGAAAAATTGTACTTTAAATAACATATTAAATTATCATAATATTCTTAAAATAAATTTGTTAAAATAAAGGAAATTTTTTTTTTCTCCAAAATATTTGATGTAAGATGCTAACATACTTTAACTAAAATTAAGGTGACAGTATATACATAAGAAGGGAGCTACTTACTCTTATGATAAATCTTAACATTTGATAAATAATCCACGTTTTAGATCAAATTTTAATGATTTAATTGTTGAATTAAAAGTTGTTAATATATATATCAAATTTATAAATTTTAAAAAAATAAAAAATATATATCATATTTTGTTATATAGATCCAAATTAACGTATAATAAGATTTTATGATTATTCATCAATTTGAATCAATAAAATGAAATATAAAAAAAAATTAAACTTTTAAAAATATTTGCTAATTTGATCTATATATTAAAAAAATTAATTTAAAAATTAGATCAATGAAATTTAATATAAAATAATTATTTAACAAAACTTACTTTTTAAATAATTATTCTCTCACGCATTCATATATATATATATATATATATATATACACACGCGTGTGAAAGAGAGAATACATGTTAATCCACAGAAAATTAACCAAAAGTATCTCACCTTTCAATTAAAGTGAACCATCCCAGTAATCAAAAACTAAAACATATATTTAAAGCTAAAAAATATATTTTGCTCCTTTATCTTTTTACTAATATTTGTTTTGATTTTTTTAACTCTTAAATTTGAGTTAATGTTATCTTTTTAAAATAATGATCATTTTTTATTTGAACACAATTTTGAATCATTTCTAGATTAACTTAATGGATGAAAATTTTCATATTAAATTCATATATATGAAAAATATGTCAAACTAAAAAAAGTCATTAAAAGGTGAAAAGTGCTTGAAATGTGAAATCCATATGCAATTTAAAAAAATTGGAACTTCATACAATTTTTATCAAGTTATTTTTTCATTATCTATAAAATTCACTTTTCATACAAATTTTTTTTCTTCATATTTGTGTCGTTTTTAGATGTTAATTAAAATTTATAGTTTTTATGTAAGTGAAACTTGTATAATAATTTTACGTCTTGAATAAGTTTAAAAATAGTTTAAAATTGTATCTTAAAATTGAAAACAATAATTATTTCATAAGAATATTAACTCATTTAAAAGTGAAAGAACCAAAATAAATATTTAAAAATTAAAAAGATAAAATCAAATTTTAGTAAAAATACAAGGGACAAAAATAAAACATATTTAGCCTTAATTAATGATCAATACCACTTTTAAAAAATAGTTATCTTTTTGAGATTGAAATTTATCACTAGTCATCTCTTAATGAGTAAGAGTGTGTTTGATTAAGGAAATAAAATGAAACGAAAGAAGAGGGGAAAAAAAGAAAAAAGAAAAGGGATAGTCCAATGATTTTTTATATTGTTTGATAGAAAAGAAAATGAGAAAAAATATTTAATAAAATGATTTCTTATTTGGTTATGTAGTAAGGGGAAAAAAAGTGTAGGAAATTGCGTAAATAGTTGAAATAAGAACTACAAAAGTTCTAATCCTTGAGTTTCCATCCGATATGAGATGATTAGATGAAATACTTTCTCACGAGACATCCATAAATGTCCCCTTCCATAGTTTAACATAAACCAATCAAGAGAAGAATTCTAAAATTAGACGTTTTCTTTCCTTTGATAATGGTTTCTCTCTTTTTCAATTATTTTAAATAAAGGTTAAATGTCTGTGTGGGAATTGATTTTAATAGACTCCTAAAATTTTAAGTTTAGTTTTAATAATTGAAATTTATAATCTTTGTAATTAATTTCTATATATTAAACATGAATCTCTATTTTATATTAAAATATTTTTTTATGGATTTTTCTTTGATGAGAGATTTTTTAGAAAAATTTTTAACTTCTTATTTAATTTAATTTTTAATTTATCATGATTATTTATTAATTAAATTTTAATATTTTTAAAATAACTTGGTAAATTTTACGATTTGTTGCTATTTGACGACATCTATTTTTTTTAATAAATATAATATCTATTAATGAGATGTATATATACAATAAATAAACTCTTCACTATGCTAAAATACATATAGAAAGGATAATTTTTATAATAATATGTTAGAATATAAATTTGTTATCATAACTCTAAAATATAATTTATATGTTTAAAAATATATTCATATATATTTAAAATATAATTTATATATTTAAATATAATATTTATTTGTATATATAATTTATTATAAATTTTATTTATATATAATAAATATTTAACTTATGTATTGCATAAATTAAAATATTAATTATAGTTTAAAGGGGCTCAAATCAAATGATTAAAAAGAAAAACCCTAACTACAGTTGTTGAAGGCTCCTTGTAGCATTCTTTACAACATTAGTGACTCAAGTCTGAAAAAAAACACCCGAAAACGGCAACGTTAGTAGGAATAGACGAGAGAAAAGCAGTTTATGATACTCTTGTTAAAATTTATGTAGACTTGATTTTGCTTATTTGTTATGAATATGAACGTCTAATCATTAAAAATACATGTTTTTTTCTCAACAATTAAGTTAGATAGGAAAATGAGCAACCAAATCCCAGACATTATGTTTACAACTAAATCGTTCATGTTGCATCAAACAATTAAAAATGTTTTTTTATACAAATTAAAACGTTTTTAAAACTTTTCTACTAATAAAAAATTAAAAATATTTCTAAACTTATATCCAAACACGATCTAATATAATATTACATTTAAAAACTTTAGACTGAACTTATCCTTATACAAATAAATTCAAAATTATAAAATAGCATAATAACTTAAACTATCAAATAGCAAAGTTACCAAATGAGTGAAAATTCAGTAAAAAAAAAACAGTTTATAAAAACGATTGATTCAAGACTTCTATCGAATTATTTAAGATTATTGTTTTGTAATATAAATTTTAATTTATAATATGGAAACTTGTACTTAACAATTTGACGTGGTTTACAATGCTAAAGTTAATTAAACTACAACAAATTTTGTAATCCTTGTTCTTCTCTTCACTGTGCCAGGGATAACACAAATGTCATTGACAGATTCTCCAACCTCACCAAGATTCCTGTATAGAAGGAATGTATTTGTAGTTTATGCCTCAAGCATGCTTTTAAGTTGGCCTGAACCACTTCATCTTGCAATATTGTATAGATTGATAGCTATAAAATCTCAAACGAGTACCTAATCATGTTCATTTACAAAGAATGCATAACTTGATGAACATAAAAAACATAGGAGTATGGAAGTACAGAAGCAACCAGAAAAGAATGGCCAGACCAAATGTCTAAAGCAGCCAAATGCAATATTTACAAGCTTACGGAAGTCATTACTTACTTTGAATGACATAAATTACAAAAGGAACAGAAGAAGAAAAAAATTCATAATTTGTTATTGAAGTTAGAAATGCTCCTACGACAACTTTGCAGATGTATCAAAACCTTGCTTCTGCAATTCTGCCCTATGCCAACATACCTTCAAGAACACCCTAAAATTAGAAGCTTGCTAGCAATTTTGCTATCAATAGCAGTCAAAAATTGCACATGCTCTGTGCTTGTGCATATATGCAGTAGAGGTTTGTAGCTGATTCATCTTGAGCATTCAGACCAAACCATTACAAAACACTACTCCCAGAATTCTGAACATTTGACATCAACCAAATTCTGTTTGTTGAACAATTTAGACTCGGTTCCAAAATAGCTAACTGCAGGATGATAATGTGCTTGTGTAACAGAAACTATTTACACCGGCTACTGCAATCAGAAACAAATGGCCAGGGTTTGTTCTAGACAGGAATGTTGTCCAGTGAATATCCATCAAATTCAAACTCATTCTCGGCTGGTCCCATGCCTTCCTGCTGCCAGCATTAGAAACGCGTGAGAAAATTGATTTGTTTATAATGGAAAATTATACGCAAGCATGTATAAATATTCCGTGTAGGAAGAAAGGGATGAAGAACAAACCTGTTTTAGAAGTGCACTCATCAGATCCTCTTGTCCGTAATGCTCAGGGAAGAGGTTAGTCTGGGAGCTTGCATCAGGAATTCTTTCAGCCTTGACCCTTATTGAATTGTCGACAAGAAGCGGATTGAGGTGTTGACCAGCATTTTGGAGGTTATCTTGTTGCAAGCCTTCTCCCATGGAGAACATAGCTTTTCCGATCAAAGCGGAGTCTCTGCTTTGGCCAGTCTGTTGTGTAGAAGAAAAGCCTTGATGCACTAAAACTGATGGTGAGACATCAATGTTACCTTGTAAAGGATTTGCATGCTGGGAGGCATTGTATGTCAGGCCTGGGTTTGTTATATCCCAATCATGATGAGACTTGTGATGGTGCAGTTCATTAAAAATATCATAACTTGGAAATCCACCAGATCCTTTAATTCCTGATGTAACTTCGTCTTGAAATGAGCCTTTTGTTGTGATGCTGGATATACCTGGAGTGCTTCCAAGAGGGAAACTATTATTCACAGACATTTCAGAGGCTTGATTCATTGGAAAATTCAACAACGAAGTGCTCGGCAGAACAGGATTATAAGCAGGTCCTCTGTTATTACCAGCAATCCCATTTCTGCCCAGAAGACCATTAGAAATTCCATTTGATACAGTGGGCTGCCCCAAAGATGATGGAAGTCTGGGAACACGAGGACCAGTATTTTCACTTAGCATCTGACCTCTAGGTTGGGATTGTGCCATTTGCATCAATAAGTGGTTGCCTTGTGTAGCAGAAGCATTGACTCGCATATTCAAGCCGCCAAGGGATTGGGAAGACTGGTGCAAATTGGCAAGCTGCTTTGGCTCCATGTTGGTAGGGATTCCATGCAATAAGTTCACTGGTTTACTACTGCTTAAATGTTGCTGTTGGCCTTCTCCGAATCTTAACCTTGGGTTTTCAAAACTGAAAAGGTTTCTTTGGTCCATGATAGGCATAGGAACACCAGCTTTTGCAGTTGACCTACCTAGTCCGGCTGCTTGAAGTGTTGCAAGACTTTGTGCTGGGAGCTGGCCAGCAACTGCAAGAGTTTGAAGATCAATCCCATTAATTGAAGAAATAGTCCCAAATGTTCCCTCTTGGGGGCCAAGAAAGGAGTTGTTCATGTTATTCTGGTGCTGAGAAACTCCATTCAACCTTCGAAGATACAGACGGTATTTCTGTAACAAAAACAGGATGAAAAAAAAAGTTACTTCCTTCAAGTAATCATTGCATAAATGAACACAACAGGAAAAGTAGGGGTAAAAATTTACTATTGGATAACAGTATGGTACCTGCAGGTGGCTGGCAACGTTTTCTCTAGTGAGCCCAGGAACATTCATCAATTCCAGAATTTTCTTAGGAACAGCCTCTGAATAGAAATATCAAATTTGAATTAGGCAATTCACCAAAAAAAAAAGAATTGAAGGCAAAAACACAAGAAAAACATTATTCTTCAAAGATAAATATTGAAACAAACTACTAAATAAGTCAAAAAGATGAGATAAGATGGATAAGTGAACATACAAGAAAAAATCAGATGAAGAACAAATGCACATAGGATTAAATACGTGTGAAAAACTCAAAAAAGATGGTTTTATGATATTGGAAAACCACTAGAGGTTCCAATAAGAAAAGTGGAAAAATAGTTGAGTAAAAGGGTAGAAAAGAGGAGCTCCGAAAAATGTAAGAATGTGCTATAATGGTTCTAGAGAAATTTTGATTTTTAATGGAGCTCAAAGGCTATGACCCCAACCAGTGGAATAAGACTTGACTGTTGATGTAATTTTAAAGCCACAATTAATAATTATCTATTAAAGTTACTTGAATAATTTGAAAATAGACAGTACGCAAAACCTAGATGCAATGATCCGGATTATGTTAACTAAAAAACTGAAGACCCAAGTAGTAAAAGTGTTGTTTATGACAACTGAACCACATGCATGTAGAATCCCATCGATTATGCATCAAACGTTCTGTTAACAGGTCTTGAGTGGAAATGCAACAAGGATAAATAAAAACTTCAACAAGGCAGGAAAGGACACATACTGTCAATTCCCAGTTGATCCACAGCAGCCACAAACTGTTGATGGAGCTCCACAGACCATACCACTCGCGGCTTCTTCAACGTGGATGTGTCATCCCTCTCTTCTGCCTCATCCTCCTCGTCCCTTCTCTTCTTCGAGTTTCTCCAACTCCCTTCATTCGCGGAGGAAGAGTAATCCGCTTCATCAGAAGCCTTGGGTTGCCGATCTCCTTCTTCAGCACTGCCGGATTGCTCAGTGTCTTTCCATTCATTCTTCCTCTTCCTCACCACATGCTGCCATATGTTCTTCAAAGCCTCAATGCGAACTGGCTTAATCAGGTAATCACAAGCACCATGAGTCACACCCTTCATAACAACACTTTTGCCATCATCCGCAGACATCACTGCAATCATCACACAGAACAAGTCAATCTCACAATCAATGCAGTCCACAAAAAGAAACAGATCTAAACAGGTCAAACAAGGCACTTACTAATAACAGGAAGGTCCATCTCCAACCCAATAAGCTCCAAAAGCTTGAATCCATCCATGTCCGGCATATGCACATCGCTTATAACAATGTCAAACCCATTTTTGCTCTCCCTCAGAAGTGAGAGTGCAGTTTCTGCTCGATTGCATTTCGTAACTGAAATAAACCCAACAAAATCATTCCTCAAAATTCACAAATATGAACAATTCAACAACAGAAACATAAACAAAAACAAATCTAACAGCCAGCAGTTTGATTCAAAGGAATAACCAACCAACAAAAACAAAATCTGATCAACAAGTAGTAGTTATCTATATACAAGCGAGTAACAGCTGAAAATAATATAAATTAAATTTTTATTCAATTTTATTTTTCTGTTACTTTCTTGTGACTTGTGGAGGGTCAATCGTAACAAAATTGGATAGAGGAAGAGTGAAAGCGGAATTGAAGCGAAACAGAAAGTGTTGGAGTAGCAGTGTGGTACCTTCGTAGAGGCACGTGCGGAGCATCTTCTCGAGGATCATGAGGCACGTGGGATCATCGTCGACCACCAGAACCCGGAGACCGGCCGGAAACTGGTCGGAGACGGCGTCGGAGGATTTCATAACGGCGGCGGAAGTAACCGTTGACGTGGATCCCTTTCCGTTGGTGAGAGTGAGATTCATGCTTGGAAGATCCGAACAGAACAGTAGCAAACAGCGCAACAAACAGAGACAACGCAACGCGACACGACACGACACGACAGTGGCGTTCACATACTTGGTTGGAATCGAATTTGAGGCCAAAGTGAAGTGAAACAATTCAAGACTTCCCAATTCGACGCAGGAATCGGAGGAGAAAGAAAGAGAACACGAATTTTGGGTCAGAATTTCTTTTTTTATATATATATATAAATAAAATAAACATTAACTATTGTTCTGCGCCTCAAGCTTATGTCCTCGCCTTGTCACTGTTACACGCTGAATTTCTCCGCTATTTAATTATTCTTTAATTAATTAAGCTTTACTAATCAACCCGAATTAAGGAGCCTTTGTTGTTTCTTTATTCACTATTATTTTCAATGGTTAAAAAACAAAGCATTAATGTTATAAATATCTTTATTATGCTTATTAATAATTTTTCAATAATATTTGTGGTTTTATTTTTGTGACGTTTGAGTTATATATATAAAATTCAAAGTTGGGTCTCACTGGCTCCTGAAAGAGTGGATCCAGCTCATTCATAAGAGGAAGTAACCCCTCATCTTAAATCTACATGTCCGACACAGCTCACCCACAAACATTTTGGATTTCACTGTGCCTGTGTTTACTGCAACAAAAATATGAAGAAAAAAAAAAACAGGTTTGTTCTCAATTAACTTTAGTTGTTACCTAATACATTGTTTTTTAAATCATGTATGATTATTTAATAATCATAAAAAATAGTTTATTTGTGTTATTAATTTGAAAGATTATATTCTCAAGTTAAGAATATACGGTGTATAAATTAATTGTTAAACAACAATGATCGGGGGAAATAAGGGTATAACTATTTTTGCTTTTTTCCTTGAATTATTTTTATTTCTAGTGACACCATGTGAAGCTTTGGTTTATTTAGTGACACAGATAAATGTATAATAATTGCGGCATATTTTCTATTTTTATATCTTGCGGAAATCATTTAAAATGTTATGTAGATGTGTATGTGTGTAGCCAATAATTTCAAGTATGCAAATATAAAAGCCTTTAATTACAGAGTTAATCACTATATATTATCATTGTAAATTTTTTTTATACTGACAATCATATATTTTTTAATTGTACCATGTCACTGTAAATACATTTATTTTTAACAGTGATATAGCATAATCAAAAGATATAATTGGTTGTCAGTGTAAAATTTTTTTACACTGACAGTGTATAAATGATTAACTCTTAATTACAAAACAAAACAACTCATTTCCATTAAAAGAAAGCGAGCACGTTGGGGAAATTATGTCAAAAATTAATTGTGTATAGAGCATGACAACTAATTATGGTTTTTAAATTCATGAAAGAGAAATATAAATCGATATGAATGATTAAATGTTTTTTATTTGAATAATGATTAAATGATGAAATGCTTTAATACACATTTATGCAGTCTTAAAATGGATTTTTGTAAAGTATGTTCATTGCTCATAAAATAGGCGAAATTTCGGTTTAAAAATGTTTAAATACAGAATATTTGAATTTTATGGAAAAAGGGGAAAGCGGCAACAGTAAACTCACATCAAATGGTTATTTGTATTTTGTAGGGTATGTAGTAAGAAATACATAATTCATTGCGTCCGAATATTTAATATTACCAAATGAGGAATATTTGTTTGAAATTAATTTGATTTTATTTTCCTGGTGTACTTATCAAAATCTTACTCTCCTTCTCCTCACTTGCACCATTTTATTTTATTTTATTTCACGTTTTGGCAGGGCACGCCGCGTGTACGTGGAATTAATCAATTTATAGCATTTATTAAACGAAGCATTATCCATGGTGATGGTGGGTCTCATTTTACAAATAAATAAATTGGTAAAAAGTTGGATGTTGGTAGTTTGGGTCAATGTCCACATACATGTAAACCAATGCCAAAGTTATGCAAGCCAGTTCATTGATTTGACCCCTAAATAACTTAATTGGATGGAATGCACACCATGGAAACGTAACCACAAGCATTAGAAAATTGGCAACTTTTGTTCCTTGTAAATAAATTCAACAACTATTAGTAAAAAGTAGTGTTGATGTGCCCAAATTCACTATATACTTACATATATATGGTGATAAAGTATTATTGTTTTGGTTCCACGCCTAAGCAACCACCACTTGCATTGTGGTTTGGGTATCCACTTTCATGAATTTGCAAGTAATATATAGTATAGTACTTGAAATGAAAAGGTTTTGATTAGTGGTTGATGTAAGAAACGGAGTGCAAAGTGGGTATTCCGTTCAATAACTTTTTGGCTGTGAAGAAGTGAAGCTCTGCTTTTGAAGCCCTCAACCTCAAACCACAACAACTTGAATCCCTATCCTTTCCTCACAATTATCTCTGTCTCTTTCTCTCTGTGTGCACTCTGACTCACTCTTTGCCTTTTTTATGTAAACAATTTCTATTATTGGTTCTTCCTCCACCAATTTCCCCCTCTCGACACGTGTCTCCTCATCTTCCTCTTTTATTTTCCCATCATTTTTTAAATTAAATCATTCAACTTTTCATGTATTAATATTTAGGATAACCTTCCAACTGTGAAAGTTAGTTCTGTTGTGTTGCCTCCTAAGCTTCATCTGAAATTAAAATTATAGAAAATAATACCAATATTAATAGTACATGAAGACGAAGAAAAAACATGAGTTAGAGTAAGTCGTAATTCCTAGATAAGCAGTGAACCACTGTGGAATATTTTTAATTAATAATATTGATATATGGCGAAAAATAAACTTATTATAGTGCAAGAAAAGCAGTGAAGCATAGCCATAAAGCAGCAATCTGAAAAACGCATATTCGGTTGGGAAGCTTTTCTTTGTTACGATGAATAATAAATAAAAGCACACACCAAACACCAAACACCAAACACCAAACGCTTTTCACTGCTTGGATTAGTTAGAATAATTTACAAAGCATTAATTAAATTAAAGCAAACTATATGTAATGTGGCCACTACTATCCTCGTCTCTTCTCTTAACTCTTAGCTTCTTTAATAAATAATATTTATTGTTTTAGTTATTTAATGTATTGTTTTGTACATTTAAGCTTTTTATGAGAGAAAACATATGATATATGCTTTTAAGGAAAATGGAATATTTGCGTGTTAGAGAATAGAGAGAGAGAAACATGCGCGGAATTAAAATATGTATTATTTATATAATTGTGTAAGTGTGGTAAGCTAAGTTAAGGCACATGGCAATTCATGGAAGTTGGAGAAAAGTGTAAGCAACTTTTCCCTCTCTTTCTTCGCATAATAATTCACTCTCTACTCTCTGCCCATTTAAATCATCACTCCCATAGCCCATAACCACTCTTTCTTATTCAAACCTATATACTATAATTAATTATTTCTTTTCATCTTCAAATTTCAACTGCTGCATGCTATCACTCTTTCACCTAAATAAACACCTGCCCCTCGATTCATTTCACCTTCTTCTGCATTTGCTTCTCATTTATTACTCTATCCTAAACAATAATATCACTTCCATATGAATATAAGTTGGATCTAGTATTTTAAATATCAACTTTCTAAGACATGAAAACAAACACAGTGGGCGGGGTAACGTTGTCTTGCAATACATGAAGCACATTCGTTCCACACAAAAGTTCTCTAAATAATTAAACAAGTATTATAAATATTTCTAAAGTGTCAAACAATTTAATATATATATAAATTTACATAATTGAGATTTCTGGACGAGTTGATTAAAGGAGAATATAGTCGATAACTTGATATTGAAAATATCTTCATGGTGACAAACTGTTATCACAACTCTTCCCATAATTGTTTCTGCATTGGTATACAGTCACTACAATAGAATAAATTTTTAATGGTATTTAATATAATTTTTAGTGACAATAAAAATTGTTACAAAATTTTTTACCGGTATTTTATACATTAGTCATTATATGCAGTGTCGCTAAAATATTTACCGGCAATTATTCTATATGTTAGTAAAGACCCTCATAATGGTCGAGAAAAGTGTATAACTTTTTGTGTCATTTGTTACTGGCATTTTAAATTACCGCTAAAAGTTTAAGAAAAAATTTATAATACTCTTTAATTATTTTATTTCTAGTCGATGTAAGACTTGTAAGATGAGTACAAATACTCTTTAGTTATCTTATTTCTAATTGATGTGGGATTTAGAAGATGAAGGTTATCTTCTAAGTATATATTTTTTTATTTTTTTAATTATCTTATCTCTTAAATACTAACTTAGAATAGTAAGTTATAGGCTTAACTCAACCTTATAAAACATACTTGTAAGGTGAGAGTTATCATTCATTTCTATACTCTTTAATTATTTTATTTCTAGTCGATGTGAGATTTAAGTTTTTTCTAACAAATAATTGTCGCTAATAGTAAATTTTGATGTGATGTAAATACATTTTTAGTGGCCATTATATAATAGTCATTAATATTTTTATTAAATAATAAAATAAGAACAATTAATTTATTATCATTAAATAATTGTCGATAATACTAAATTTTACTGTAGTGAATGCATCAAAGAATTGTCAAATGTTAGCACTGTGTCCAACTAATCAGACACAACCTAGGTGCTTCTATTTTTCAATAAAGTCTTTATTATCATACATGAAAGTAATTAATAATTATCATTTTGTATGGAAAAGACAAATGATAATAATAATTAAAATACTTATAATTCTCTCGACGACAAAATAATAGGTTCAGTTATGTACTCCCCAAAAGTTTTTTTTTTGTGCAAACAAGGAATTTTACACATAAGAATTCTTCTACTCTAAATTTTGAAACTAATTAAGAGTTTGTTATTATTAAAACATATGTTTATATAAGATTCAACTAGAACAACAACACTTTCATCTTTAAATTCAACAATTCGTGAACTATAACTTTGGTTTGTGAGTCTTATTTTTCTCTCAAACTTATCTTGTAGAGTGATTCTTCTCCCTTAATCTCATGTAAGTTGTGTTATTTATAATTATAGATTAGTAGAACCTTGAATTTGAATACTAATATGTTCGAAGTAAGTTTGGAGTAGTTCGGTGTTCTTCTTCTCTTCGGTTATGAGGTAACTAAAGATGCATAAAAAAAACTATCTCACTCATGACTTGGAGTTGGTGGCAATGATATTTGCTTTGAAAATGTGGAAGCATTATTTATATGGGGTG